AGGCACGAGCCGTAAAATATCCGAGGGTTTCTGCGGTCGCTCAAGTTGATGACTAAATTCGTGCTATCTCGCCCGTAAATTTTTTTCTCCCCCCCTCCCCCAGCCACCCACCGGGGCGCATTATGTAATGCTCCCCCGCGTGTATATACGTGCCGTCGACCGTTATAATTCAGTGAGAGGAAAGAGCGGAGTGTACTGGAGCACCCGACGGTTGCACACGGGCGTTCGCCGTGACTGGAAGCGTGTGGAAGAGCCTCTGTCGAATCGATTCGACGATGGGTGGAGAGGGCCTCTGCGGCGCACTGCAATGCCGTAACTCCTCCGAGTAAGATTTCAGGAGTCAAAAAGAAGAGAGTGTTTTTTTTTTATTGCAAGGGCTGGATAAACGGAAGCCTGGAGAATTACCGGGAGGGCCATCGTCGCCACGAGCGGACGCTCATCCGGCGAAGTTATTGGATTTCGCATAAAGTCTTTCGCGGTGGCGGTGTAGAATTTAAAATATCCCGAATCAGTTCCGTGATGGCCATATTAATCAAGCCTTTTAATCATTCTATTGCTAACGGCCGTCTCTCTTGTACATTTCGCGCGAGTTTCGCACACGGTATCATTCTGCAGAAAGAACAATAAGGCTAATAACAGCTAGTTTAAAAGTTCAATTGGATATGCGCAGCTGGTACGATTGCGCGTGTACAACTTCATCTAGTCTAGATCTAGATAGTATCTATTTTAATAAAGCCAATGATATGCCGTTGAAATTTTTATTTTTTTGTGCAAGATGATGAGTCAAGGTTGTATCAGCGCTTTTAGCATCGGTCTCGTGGAAACGATTACGCTCGTGCGATAATATTGAAGGCAGTTAAGATCAGCATAAAAATAATTTACATTGTTAACAAATTTATTATGCAATTATGGACGTCTACGCGGCCATAGATATCATTCTTATCGCATCCCCCTGATCTCGATTTAATTGTCACGATACTGATATTACACGCAAAATTAGTTTAATACACTTGATATTAATAGACACAACGTTATCAGCGTCTAATTATAATCTCGGACGCACGTTCACCGTACGGTAGGAAAAAAAGAACTTTTGAGCGAGTCGAGATAGCACTTTGCACGCAAGGTGTTAAGCGCCGTGTTTAACCGTAATGTGCGTACAGAATGCGAGACAATGATTAACTATGTAACGTTATCTCATATGTTATATTTATATTTATCAGTATTAATAATTTTGATTCACATCGATTCATTTCAAACGGTATATAGTTTTAGAATTTATGTATAATTAAACATATACAATGCCATTATGAATTAATAATGCGAGATTCTGCGATATTATCGTGTAATAGTAGAACGATATATTTAGGATACAGTTTACGAAAAATGTTATCAGATCAATTAACAGTGATATCAGAATTATTTGAAGTGCAATACTTCACACACCGTAATTGTTTAGGAATCGTTTAAACAGTATGTCACGCCACTGCAATAAATCTAATGCAGGTACTTTCGGGAATGCTTCAATCATTTGTCAGTTGGACGCAATTATGCAGTTATCGCGCGAGCTGCGGTCTTCTAATAATCACCAGTCAGTGTCAGTAAGAGAGATATATTTCGCACTCTCGGCATTCCGCGTGATTGACAGGAGCATATTTCCGTACTTCGGAATATTAGCGACACTGGAAGCGGAAATAATATGAGTCTGTGAAATTAAGGAAGAACGGAGAGCTTTCTCCAATCGATCGATGGGTCGCGTCAATACCGCGCTTTCATCGCTTACAAGTTTTTGTATTCTTATTTTCTGTGACAAACCATCACTGCCATGCAGGAATAAAAGATAAATTTCAGTTAAGCCTTCCCGAGTGTCAGCGTAAACGACACCGGTGGGAAACGAATAAAGGTAAAACAGATTTCCACGTCTCAACTTCGAAGAAGCGGATTACGTATTTCCGGATCGCGACATTTTCTCGGTATTTTAAATTTAACTTGGCTGTTTCAAAGTTATTTCATTATTCATTATATATTTTATCACACATTATACATTATATATTATATATTATACATTATTATATCGCAAAATCACTTTGTTTTATTTATTATATACTTATCAACTTTAAAAGAAAATACATTATTTCAACGAACATTTTTTCATCAATGAAAGTTACGTATGTATTCGATATATTATACAGACGCATGTGCGTTTTAATGTTTAAAACTTAATAACATGAACTTTAGAATATGAAATAACAATTATAACTAATTTCATTCGCACCTTTAAAAGAGCATTAGATCTTTTAAAAAATCTTTTTTGTATATATATATATATAATATATAATATATATATTAATATGTGATAAATATGAATATGTGATCATCAGAATAAATAAATGACATCAATTTCAGTTTTTACCACATTTTTTGTGTGTACAGAAATAATAATGTTAATTAGTGTGGATGCAGGAAACTGCAGAATTAATTTTCAATATACATAGATCAGTCAAAATCAAACAACCATTAGATATTCGTTAAAAACTGACAACAAAAATCTAATATAACTTCAGCTATTTTTCTAGCGTATAAATATATTTAATTTTTATTGATGTGATTTAAACTTCTTTCGCGCTAGTTATTTTTGTTTATAACATATGTTTAATTTTTTTTTATAGCTGTACCTTATTCTAATTAGAGAAATAGAGACAGATTTTAAAGGAAGGACAGTTTTTCTTGAAACTTGAATTCTTATCGTCCCGTAACCATAATGAAAGAGATCCGTAAAGTTTCATTTTACACCACACAAATATCAAAGATGCATTAGTTTGCAATATAAGAGACGTTTTAATTTTATGAATATTAGAATTAAAACATGTGTGTTTATATATATGCGAGATGCATTCGAATTATTAATCTATTATACAATTTAAAAAAGTGTTGTATAATTTTTTTTATATCATTAAAGTTTAACACATTTTCCCAAGCGTTAAGCTAAAGAGGAATCCTTCTTTCGGAATCGTCATTACCACGAAGAGTGTCCTTCGTATAACGAATTTTTTCTTCACTTAGCAGTCTGCCTCTTTTTACGTGCGCAAGATTCAAAATCGATTGGCACAAAAACGTCCTCTGCCACGAAGCGTTGGCTTGAAAGATTCTCAATCATTCGGTTTTGCGAGCAAATCGATCGCCAATGGTCGTTACGAAAACGTATGACATTCGTTTACACACCAACATCTTGGAGACGCGACGATCCGGTAGACTAAAGTCTCGTCTCCGGCATAAATTGAAGATGATGCAACATTTGAGTCTCAATCACTAGCTGACCTCGTGAGATTAAACGATGACCGAAAAAAATACACGTTTAATTCTGATAATGCAATCGACGACTCGGAATGTAACAAAACTCACGCTGACAACGCGTTGACGCGTCCACTATACGAGTTTATTACACTAGCAGTGCTAGCACTGAATGTTGTCACAACAGCTAGTTTTCCCATAATGTAAAGTTTCTACGTTTGTATAAAGTCCGGGGGCGCATATTGTTTCGCCTTTGTACACCGCCGGTAAGGCACTCTTTCGCGACAGGTCAAAGAAACTTCAACGTGGAGGAGCTCACAGTGCTCGTGACGTCTCTGACGACCTTGAGTACGACTCTTCCTCCGCTTATGAATCGCGCTTCTCTGTACGAGACACCATTACAACCAGAATAAACATTAGTAGTCAGCGTGCTAGTTTCACGCATGAAGATGATCGAAACTGAGACCGGTTGAAAGTCGGCCCGGAATAAACTTTATTTTTCCGAAGCGTACATAGTTTCCCGTAATCTACGCTTATAATCTGAATAAGAACCATTTGTGTCGCTGCCATTTAATGTTATATGTAGTTTAGATCACGGAGATAAAAAAAAAGAGATATTGTGCAAAATTAATAAGTAAAATAGAAGAATCTACGTTTGTAATCATGTGTAAATAATGAGAAAAAGAAAGTTTTTTGAGGGAACCGTTAGTGCAACAATCGATATATCTCGATATCTCTCCCTTGGCCTACATGAGAAAGGTAAGCAGGTCACGTGTCTTGAACTATGATTGATGCCGTTCAAAATGCATTCGGGACTGTCAGCTGTATTCAAATATCAGTTTCTTCTTAAAAAGCTGCACTTGCAAGTTGCCAAGTTTGTGCAAAGCTAAGCAACAGTTATCATATATTTCTCATGCACTTATGTAATATTGTTAAGAATGTGCTTCGTTGCAATTTCGGATTTATCGTACCATTTGTGTGGATTTCGAGTTCGGCACATCAATTTATCAATTTATTTATTAATAAACTAGAACGTAAAATAGAACGTATAAAAGAGAGAAACTCGCTGCTATCGGGGCTAAATCAGGGCGCAGTTTGATCATCCATTTGTCATACAAGTTCCGCGATTTGGTCAAGGTCGTGCCTCTTGACCACGCTGTGCTCAAGGTTCATCGGTTAGTCTCATCCTCAAACGCAAAATGAAAAACCGCGAGGAAAAAAAAAGTAAACGTGGCAATGTCCGTCTACGAGACAAAACACCGCCCACGAGCGGTCGTGCGAGTAGGTGAAGTCACGCGACGCTATGCTTCTCCATGAAATATAAAGTCACGGTAGCGTATAAGGGGTGAAGGGGAGAGCTGTGTGCAAGTATATGTTTGTAGGGGGTGAAGAAAGAAAGCGAGAGAGAAAAAGAGGGAAATCGGAAGAAAGTATAGAGATAGGGTTATAGTAAAGGAAGACGGACGGATAGATAGTTGGAGAGGGAAAGCGCGTGACAGACAGAGAGGCGGCGGTACAGCAGTGACATGTATCTATACGAAAGGGGTTGATGGATGGAAAGAGATGACACGACGTGGGGGAATAGAGTGAGAGGGGAATCGTAGAACAGGACAGACTGATCGATCGGTGTAAAAGTAGACAAAGACAGGGTCAGACGTTTTCCTAGATCGCGAATGTACGGTTCGCGTATATACATTCCGCGTACATACCGAGGGCATCAGCTGATCGGTAGACCTGACCCGGGTCACCTTGTTTCTGTAGAGTACCCTTTTGACCATTTTCTCCATCGGTTGGTTCCACTTCATGAAGCTCACATATCCTAAGTAGAATCCAAAAAGCACAAGCGCCTCATACCAGTATATGTAACTATCGCGGAAGAAGTAGATCAGGGTGAGCAGACTGGCGCTATAGAAAGTGCAGTCGCGAAATAGAGGCCACCATGTGAGCGATAGCACCGTACGCGAGAATATAGCGCACATGCCGATCACGAAAAGAATGTTGAAGACGGCGGAGCCGACGATAGTGCCGATACCGACGTCGTCGAACGACACGAACACGCCTATGATCGATGTGAAGAGTTCGGGCGCCGATCCACCGGCCGCCATGAAAGTAGCACCGGCCACATCGTCGGCGATATCGAGTTTCTCGATGATCACGTCTAACGACGGCACGAAGAACTCGTCGCAAACGATCGCCAACGCGACGAACATGTACACCACGCCGAGTATGTGGAGTATCACGGCGCCGCGGCGCCGTTGATCGTTGGTGAACAGATCTTCGGGGAAGAGCGGCCTCTTGATGTCTGTCTCGTTATCGTTAGTCCTATTGTGCCCGTCGAGACCTGCTACGTTGACACCGCTGTTCCGGCTATCGTACACGCTGGTACCATTACTTAGCTGTGTTCGAATGGGCATGGTTGTGCTACTCGTAGTGGTATGAAATGTGTTCTGGCTGTTCGGTGCCGGTCTGTGGCCTGAAGACGACGAGGGGCCCATCGCGAAGGCTAAAACCGCGGAGAGCAGAGTCACTAACGCCAATCGGCGCCTCCGCCTCCAACATGTACGCCGATCACTGCCTGTCACGATCATCGTCGTCGTCGGCGGTGGTGCTGCTGTTGGTGGTTCGCACCTTCGAGGACGTTCGCCGTCGTTAGCGAGGCCTCCGTCCTCCTCCTCCTTCGCCACCTTCTTCTTCTTCTTCTTCTCCGTCCTCCTCGGCGTTCTCCACCCTCTCCCTGACCCCCTCCGCCGCCAGCACCACCTCCGACTCCTCCACCACCTTCTTCTACGTGTCGTGTCGTGTCGCGCCGCGGAGGGTGTACGACAGGAGAGCCGTACTAAGGCTGGGTCATGTTGGAGCGGCGATGAGGAGCGGCTCCTTGCCGATGCCTCCCTCTGGATGGACCTACCTGCGTGTGACCGCGGTACTCGATCCTCCACCAGGCTCTTTCTCTTCCCTCCGTTTCCCGCACTACGTCCTCCTCTCTCTCTTTGCTGTACCTCGGCGAGCTTTTTCACTGGATGTTCACGATGTGCAGACCGACAGGATTAGTCCGCGACGTGTACTACGGTTACTATTACTACTACAACTAATGCTGATGTACACCGCTACTACGAACAGGCTCGGGTATTCGACGCGACCGATAATCTTTTGCTTCCCGGCGGCGTCGACGTCGTCGTCGTCGTCGCCGTCGTCGCCGTCGTCGTCGTCGCCGTCGTCGCCGTCGTCGCCGTCGCCGCCGTCGCCGTTGCCGTCGCCGTCGCCGTCGTCGTCGCCGCCGTCGTCGTCGTCGCCGTCGTCGTCGTCGCCGCCGCCGCCGCCGCCGCCGCCGCCGCCGTTTTCGTCGTCGTCGTCGTCGTCGTCGTCGTCGTCGTCGTCGTCGTCA